AAATTCCTCCTAAATCTAAAGCTCCCTTTAAATTAGAAGTAAGAAATAAATAAATTAATGGTAAGAACGCTAGTAGAAGTAGTAGCGGGGTAAATATAAATATGATTTATATAAGAGGCCGTAAGGGTATTAAGGAAAAACCTATAGGGGGTTTAGTTAAATTTACTCTTAAGTAACCCTACGCTCAGTTAGATAAATTGGGAAAAGAAGAGTTTAAATTTATAGAATAAGTACTAAAATTAGAATCCGGCGCGTAAATAAGGGAAAACAGGTTAATCATTAATTCCGGGGTAAGGTTTAGCGAAATATAAATATAAATTTCGTTAATAATTATATTATTAATTAAAATAACTTTATTTATATTTATAAAAATAATATGATTTAATAAGCTTTCGTAGCCTAATAGTTTACTTCGGCCGGCTATAAGTATTAACTTCCTTAGGAAGTCTGCGTCGGGTAATTTATAATAGTAAAGGGTATTAATAATTTTTAAATATAATAAATTAAATTTATAATTATTCTATACTTTAAATAGCGTTTTATTAATAAGCCTATTTAAATACTTATTCTTTAAATAAATAATTGTTTAGAGAAAAATCGGCTATAAACGACGGTTAAAGTTATTATCCTCTAAGATAATAGTAAAGCACTCTTATAAAATCCTATTAAAGCGTTTTAATATATTACTTTATTTGTACCAATTGATTACCGAATATATTAATTGTATAAATCGGTTTGTATACTATAATTAAAATCATTTATTAATATTTTCGCTAGCCTAATTGAAGTAAATATAATAAAATCTATACTCTAACTTATCGAATTTATTATATTATTATTCTACTATACGAAAAAACTCGTCTTTAATTTTACTAGCGTAGGCCTAAACGTATTACGTAAAATTATTTATAATAGCAACTTAATACTATTATCTTTATAAACTTTTAAAGCGAAAGGGGTTATAAATATTTATATAAATATATTCAAGAGGTTGACTCCCTTTATATACTAATTCCTTATAAGGAATTTATTTTAAATAGCTTAATATGTATTTATTATAAAAGTAAATATTAAGAACGGGGTAAATATTAATAAATAGGATTTAAAAGGAAACAATATTTCCTTCGCTAAAATAGGTAAGGCGGTTATATTATATTTTGAATTTCTATCGTTCATTAGTATAAGTAGCGAAAATAAAATATAGTATTTAATTATTAGTCAATTAATATACAATATATATTCTATTTATATTAAAGCTTCTGAGGCGGATCTTCTAATTATAAAGTCCTATTGCTAAGCTATTTCCGAATACTATAATAAAACTCTTATAATCGAATTGTAATATAGATAGGAAGTTGTAAGCAATTTAGGGTAAATAGTACGCACCTTCTAATAAAATATAAAACGAATTGCTTTTATAAATAAAAGTACGTAGTAAATAGGTACCTATCGCTTCTAAAGTAATTTCTATATTACCTATTCTTGTAATAGGAGGGTTAACATAAGGGCGAAAGCTTTTAAAACCGGTTTTATTATAAAAGAAGTAATTTACGGCACTAGAATTAATAACGATAATATATTTGAAATTATTTAGAAATTTATAACGAAATTCTAAAGCGGATAATGCAATAATGTATTCTACGAACCTAGAATTAAATAGTAGGGCTATAATAAAGAAAAGTAAATTAGCCAAACGGGTATCGATATAAATGGGGTTAGAGTAAATAATTAATTATATAATAATTAGATAATTTAAAGTAATAAACATTAATAATAACAAGGCTATTAAGAGTATAATGTTTAAATTAGTAAATAATAGCGATAGTAAAGCCGTTAAAGACGGTAATATAAATAAAGAATATATAATTAGTAAAGACGGATATAGGGACGGATATAGGCATAGAATAAATAGCGGGTCGGTTATTATAAAATTGAATATTATATAGCCTATAAATTCTAAAAAATTAATAATAGATTGTAAATTACCCGCTTCCTAATTGTAATGGGAGCGCTTATTAAAATGCAAATCTTTTAAAGTTTCAATTTCAAATTCTTTATTATCGAAAGCGGCTATTAATAGTATAATAATCGAATTAAAAGATCGGTCGCCGTCCTTTTAATTTATAGATTAATTCGCATTTTTATAACGCTTAAAGTACTAAATACTGTAATAAGAATCGCTATAATTTAATATTTTATATACTAAATAGGGTACTTGAGGGCGTTCTTTATTAGTATTGTATAGTCTTTTATTATTAGTATTAGTAACAGTCTTAATAACCTTAATTATATATTAAATTATAAAGGCTTTTTGCTAGGCCGGCGTATTGAATACCAACTTATCGGTATTATCCTTCTATTATTTAGCTTATTAGCGTTTAATTAGAGCCTCTTTAATTTTAATAATACGTTCAACCCTCTTAAATATAACTGGGGACCGGGTGATTTTATTAAATTCGTCCCGCTCCGGTAAGATAATATATTCCCAAATGAATTTAAAAACGAAAATAATATATAGAAGGCCTAAATACCGAATAAAATAATCGATTACTATAGAATCAGGTAGAAAGCAATAATTAAAATCCATTTCAACGAATTTATATTAAGTAATTTATAGCTGGCTAACGTAATCGGCAACGCTATTGCAAGTAATGAAAGTATTAATATAAAACCGAATGAAAGTATTAATAAAACCTTTAAAATCCTTTAAGTAATAATTATCGAAAATTTATTAGAGAGCCTTTACGATCGTCTTCGTATTGTAATTCTTAAATTCATTATAGATCGTTATAGCGATTTTAGTAATAAAGAAATTAAATTATTAATATTATTCAATATTCTAATCTTCAACCTTTTTATAGTATTTCTATTCAGGGATACCGGAGTAATAGACAAGGAGGTTAAGATGGTTAATGATATTATATTTAGAGCGCGCTAAAATATAAGTAGTAAAAGCATAGCGTTAGGCATAATTATCGCTTCTGCTAACGAGAATTAGGAGGGTAATAATTTCATTAAAAGTTTTATTAAGCATATTTAAAATTTAAATATTCGGCGGGGCCGGGCACTAGAATATAGTAGTAAGGGCATTATAAGAGAAGCGGGAAAAAGAACGGGAGCTAGAAGAGGAATTATAATAGTAAAACCTTAAAACTCTATAGAATTAGGGGGTAAAAATAGTATTAGATTTTAAGTAAGGCCCGAAAGAATAATAATAGAAAATTTTAATAATAGTATAATAAAAGTTAAATTTTAAAAGAATTTATAAAAGATTTAAGGTACGGCGGAAATATCTTTTAAAAAATAAATAAAATTATAATAATTAAAATAGCGGCGGGTAAGTAATAATTTTATAAGGCGCGGCCGAAAATTATACCGATATATTTTTTATTAAAAATATTATATAGAGTAATTACGCCGAACCATAAATATAAATATAAATATCTAGCCTATAAAAGATTTGTAAATATAATAATATAAAGTAATAGTGAACGATGTAATAGATACTATAGCTAGTAAAGTAGCGGTAATAGTAGAATATATAAAGTACTAATTAAATAATAAAAGGGGCAAAAACGGTCCTTACTCAATAAATCGCACTTCTATTAATACGAAAGTAAATAAAATCTCGTAATATATTAAAAATCCAACGATTTTTAATAAAGATAATAAATTCTCGTAAAATATAATAAATTCCATAATAGCAAATGTTAGGAAAAATCCAATATATTTATAACGTAGTAAAATATCCCCGCGTTTTAAATTACCAAAGTTTTTCCTATACGCAGAGTACGTATAGTAGTCCGTACGTATAGTCTATACAAGTATAAACTATATATATAACAGCTATAATCAATAGTGGTATTTACGCTTAGTAAAAAGTACAATCCTTTTAGAGTGCGAATAGTATCTTTTCTCAAAGAGAAAAGGTAATAAGGGGGAAAAAGGAAGGAAAGGGGGGGGTAGGTAAGTATTATAAACTTAATTATTATTTATAGAACGCCTAGCGTATCCGGGTTTATAACCTATTTGTTGGAAGGTATCGATCGACGAGTGGATATGGTACGAAGGTACGGTCGATACGGTTGTGTGGAGCGTTTAAAGTGGAGTAGAATAGTATATAGAATATAGGGAAAGGTAGTAGATTGATAGAGATATCGATGAGTGTCTAAGATATATTTCTTTTTCCCTTTCTTCGAGGGAAGCCCTCTTTAAATAGACTTTTTGGATTAATAAATCATCGAATAATTAAACCGTTTATTCTTTTAGAATTGTTATTTTCCGATTATTCCAATGGTGTTACGTATATCTTCGTACGACTAACGTCGAGGCCGGAATTCGAATCGAATTTAAAAGTCTTCTCGGACTTCTTTCTTCACTTCTACTCTATATAGTCGTTATATGACGAAACCGTTTATATAGTCGGGAACGTTATGTTTCGTTCTTTCTAATGGAGTTACGTATGATTTCGTTTGATTAACGTTAAGGTAGGAATTTGATTACGAAAATCGAGGTTTAGATTTTCCTCCGGGTTATCTTCCGGATTCTATTTAGGGTTAATCCCTATTATAAATCGGACCTTTCTTCCGGACCGGAATTTTTCTCCCGTTATAAAAATAGTATTTATATATAAAAATATAAATTTTATTTTTATACCTACATATTATTATATAAGCCCGTAAATCCGTTATAAGTCTATTATTATTTATATATATATATTAAGTCTATAATTACTAACACTACTAAACTATACGGAGGAGGTAATTACGTATAAATGTAAGAGACGACGAAAGTAGTGGTGAATATCTTAATTAATTAAAGAGAGAGAAAGAGAAATATAAAGAAGGAAGACGAAGTCTAGCTTATATACAGGGTAAGCATGTGTGGATCGTATCCACCCTGTGCCAAGAATGCCAAGACATGGTGATGGCTTCAACATATCAGAAACGACAAAAGACATCAACTAGTATAAAAGAGGCAAACCAGAAGTACGCTCAAGCATTATAAGCATCCTCCAACGGCTGTCCACCAGATCCCGCTCCCGCGTTAGAGCCCTGGCCACCCACATCCTCCTCGAACTTCCTCACAACTCCCTTCAAATCAGCCAGCATCTCCGCGAGCAAGTCGCTCGACGCCGGGACACTGCCCTCCTTAACCAGTTTACAAACCACTTTTCCCACGCGACCCACGTGCTTGGCCTTGGTAAGTATGGCCGCGAGGCCCTTCTTCATGCCCTCTTCCTTGGCTTCCAACTCCCGCTCCTTCTTCTCAACTTCTCTGGTGCGACGCGCAAGGTTTTGGGTTTTGACGTGGAGCTGACCCGTCTCCAAGTTACGGCGAGCAACAAGGTCGCTCAGCCGACGACACTCAAGTTCGAGCTCGGCATATGTCATCTTGTCGGATGCAGAGCTTTTTTCGGCGGCGGCCTTGCTTTCGTCGTGAATCTCCTCTTCCATCTCCTTGTCCTTGATCTTGTGCACTTGCGTGCTTTGGGCCTCGACTTTGGCGAGGGTCTCGTCGATTGATGCAAATTTGAAGATGGGCGTTGTACCCTGCCCCTGCTCTTTGACTTTCTTGTTGAGCAGTTGCTCAACTTGCTCTTGCAGTGAATCGTTCTGCGCCTTTAGGTTCGTGATCTTGTTGGAGAGTTTGGCTTTCTCCGCAGCACTGTTGTCTTTGAACTTCTTCAGTTCAGTTGCTAGAGCCTGCTGATGCGCAATTTCCGCCTCTAGCCGGGCGGCACTTTCCTTCTTGGCCTGCCTCAGCTCGGCTTCCAAAGCAGACACCCTGCTCGTCATCGTCTGCTCCGTGACTTCCCTGGCAATTTCGGCTTGCTTGACCTCTTCCTTCAGGCCCTTGATCACGTCGTTGTATGCGGTCGCAATCGCATTCTTCTCAGCCAAGGCCTGTTCGTGCCCCTCGATTTCCTTGTGCATCCTCTCTATTCTCCTCGACAGGTACCGGTTTTCGTTCTCAAAGGCGACCAACCGGCGGCTAAGCTCCTCAGAAGTGCAGCCCGAGTCGTCAACGCAAACTGAGAAACACGTTCAAGTTAGCGATCAGCGAACATTCAAATTTTTCATTGGATTTCCTCGCCGTCAGTTCATGAAGCCACTTACTGTACTTATGCCACATCTGGCAATCCAGGAAGAAGTCTTCAAAGTCGTTCGCATAAGGCGGGTAAATTACGCCAAACAACTGGAGAGGCGCGATCGATCTCGCCCACCATCTCCGCCTGGTCTCTACTTCTCTGTCAAGCTCCTCCCTTGACACTTCTGGGTGACGCAGATGTACGTGATGGAGTAGTGCGCGCCGATTCGTCACGTACACCCTTCCGGGTCCATGAACATGTAGCGGCATCTGCGGTTGCTGTACCGCCGCATACGGTGGGGGAGGATATGGGGGAGAAGGAGCTTCGTCAGCCATCGTAAGTTTTTGAGCCGTTGTTGGTTACCTTACTGAGGAGATGAAAAAGGAGACGAAGAAGAAGAGGCCGAAGAATGAGAGGAAGAAGAGAAAGGAGAGTGTACGGTCAAGTTGAGAATGAACTTGAAGGAAACCGAGTTTGGCTGTTGAGGAAAGAAAAGAAGTGAGTTTGCGCGAGAGTCATCTGAAAGTACCCCGCGGCAAATATCATGCAGACTATTGTGGCCTAAAATCATGTCTTCGTCTGAAGTATGAAACGCGTGAGTAGAGATAAGGGGGACTTCGGAAAGAGAATGGTCAGCTCATGCTCTAGATCAGCACACACGTTCTCACCAAACAATATCACAAAATTCAGTCAAGCACCGCGATTCTCAAGCTGAAACATACATAGAACACTCTATTGTAATCCAGTTATGTGAGGATGAAATCCTGTATTTGAACGTTCCCTAGTTAATGCAAGTTCAACGGGTCAACATGATAGAGGTAGCGTACTATTGTGTGAACTATTCGAGTATTGGGCCAAGACAGAGTTTTGGACTCCCAGGGCTCTTGTTTTTTAAAGGGACGTATGATCTTCCAAGACCCACATAAAGGAGACCACGAGTTTGGAGGTCAAGGCTACCGTGTGCTTGTAACAAGAGGCCGAACTCGTCCGCTCTGTTTGCTCGTCACATATCCGCCATCTGCCCGAGATCAGAAGCAACTACTGGATCATATGACGCTAAATTTAATCCGATCAAGGTGTTCTCAATGTACTTCAAGGCATATCGCACGTCCGTTGATGCCTTTTGAGTGTCAGAAATGGTCTGCCTACAAGTAGACATGGAGATTGGAGGTATGACGACCCATCAGCCAGGTACTTTGCCTTGCTTAGGGTAGAGTGGATATAAACGGCTTGTATTGCCGTAGATCAGACGACGCGAAGGGCGGTGAGTGGCAGGGCTACATATACTATACCGTATGTGTCTGGTACCTCTACGGGTACCTGCTGCCTGGTGGTAGCCCTTCTTCTGCTCTAGTTCTCACCCCTCCTTGTGATTTTACCGTGGGGTGGCTGTCACCGGCTGTCAAAGCTCACTGCCAGTCCTTCTTGAAATTCTTGCCAGTTACCACCCCACTGCGGCACGGTATAAATCTTCTCCTTCTACCCCTACATCCTTGTGCCTCTTCTCCTCTTCTTTTTTTGTCGCCGTTCGGTCTTCTCCGACTCACTCAAAGCCATCTGTCACTTCCTACCGCCGCAAGCAAATCAAGATGCCTGTCCGTCTCCCTGGCGACCCTCACCCGGTCCGCGAGCCGTAAGTCAGCCCTTCGCCTCGAATCTCAATCACTCAAGCACTTCGTCCCCGCTCACGCTGTTTCCCGCTTGTAGGACCCTTCGCTCGGTCTTCTGGGACCTTAACCACCTGGCCATCACCGGTTATGTGGGATACTTCGGGTAAGCTCACATCTTGTAGTGCCTCTACCTATCTCGCCGTCAGATTGCCAACCAGTCTTGTCTCACAGTACCCACTATGCGTACCTACACTGCTTCGACGAGGCATTCCAGGACTGGTGTCGCGGGGCCGGCATCGACCCCGACACTCCGTTTCGCCGCAACGGCAGGATCTTGCCCATTCCGCTGGCCAGGTACGTGGCCGATATATCTGATCACATGCTGAACACAAAGTGATATACTGTCTGCCTCGTGGCATGTCGCTAACCTTTGTCGCTTGATGTAGCAAGCTTTAAGCGCACACCAGCTGAGGACGAGAAAAAGGAGAAGGAGGTCCGGCAACAAGGTAGAAAGTGAAAATAACGGGGAGGTGTCACTTACCACCGGTCTCGGTCGGGAAGTTCTTCCGGAGGAAGTGCGCAAGGAAAGCTATGTCACCGTGGGTGGCGTGAAGACTTTCCGCACCGAGCAGCAGGCGTTCATGGACGATCGGGAGGCCAAGGAGCTTATGGTCATTTACACAGACCCATCGGATATTCCACCTACGTGCAAGATTCCTTGTGAGACAGAGAGAGCTTCAGAAAGACACTTTTTAGCCTAAGTCGTCTGCTTACGAGCCTTCGCTTGATGCCGATCGACCGTACACCTCAGAGAAACCGTTCAGCTCAGAATAACCGTTGAGGCTACGGTTACGGCGGCGGCTATCGTGGTCGTGGCGGATACAACAACTCATACAACAACCGCCACGACGACATGACCGAAACTGATGAGGACTGTCGAGGAAGCACATGGCATGGAGGATTCACCAAGGGACTGGGTTAGATCATTAGACCAAATATCAGCCGTCTTCATATCTTGCTGCGTGCGCCTTGACAATGGTGAGGTATCGTGAAGTGCATTGTTGATGTAGTGTGAACATCAAGCAAAAGTCTCACCATTACCGTCGCTTATGATAATGTGTTCGAGGTGAGAGGACGGGTAGTAGGCTCTGTCTGTGTTGACATAACCTGGTCGTCGACATGTTGGTCAAGTGGCCTGACTAGGGCCTTAGGCACTTCACTCAACTTTTTACGTTGCGCCGCTTCTTCCTGCTTGGCTTCCAGCAGGATATGATACTTAGACGTAGGAAATATGCGTGATTGGATGGGAGGTTTAGGTCTTGTTTCGCAATATGGTATGCACGTCAGCATTTGTCCAGGTGTTTCTTTCCTCAAGCGTTGCAGTCGAAGGTCTATGGCTCTTTCCCAGAGACGGGTGGGGTGAGCTCTCATCTGCTTGAGGCTATACCATAGATAATGCCAATGGCAGGCACCAAGTACAGCAAAGAGGCTTGGCCATGTCTGCATTGCCGAGTTGGGTACCTAGGATCATCCGCTCATACTCCATGCCATGTGAATGGAATTAGGTTGTTCGCAAGAAACTTGGTACGAATGGGAGTGCAACTGAGCTTAAGAAGAGAATGTGATTTGTGTAAATGGCGTTGGAATGGGCCAAGGTCCTGGACCTTGGAGGTTTTAGTCAACTAGGTAGTGAAGTTATCAGTTGTGAGAGGGAAATATTGTGATCTCCAGGTTGTCGTCTTCAGGTTAACTATGCCGCTATTCATAGGTAGGTAGTGAAGTCTTCCAATCTTCCCAAGCCAAAACCTTGGAAGTGTTAACCAGGGAGAGAAGGTTCATACCAGGTCGAGTAAAGAAGCACCAGTGTCACTGGACATATGGTGTCAGGTTCAAGGTTTACAATGGATTCAGGAACGTTCACTTCGTCGAACCTGGCGGCAAAAGGTTCCCTTAATGGCCTTTTCAAGGCCTCCGATTCTCCCAATAAATGGTCCTCGGTTCCTCACCCTTCCTGTCAGCTAGCACCCAGTCTTTTGCATCACTCACGCCCTCCCAGGACTGACTCTGCTTTTGCTGGCTCGTCCTCTCGCCGACACATCTGCTTTGCTCCAACACGACATCCCTTTCGACATTTTTTCTTTCCGTGATGTTCGCCTTTGTTGTTCTTATTCCAGACTTTGGTCAGTGAATGATACAACGAAGATGGGCCCACCGAACGGCATTCATGGAACGAACGAGACGTTGGCTCCGTGAGTTCCCTCCTAGCAAGTTAGTCTTCTGGCTCGGTGCCTCTGCTAACATGGTCACAATGCAGAACAATTCGTTCGGTTCTTGCCGATGTTGTCAAGAAGGTTGTTGAGGAAGAGACTAGACAAGGCTGGTATGTGTGTGATGCAACAATTTTCCCATCATAAAACCGACACTGACCCAGATTCCATCATAGTTCGTCTGTTGTCGCTCGTATGTTGAGCAATGCCGATAAAGCGTGGGCAGAATATTGCCACAGGGCCGGCATAGACAGGGACACCCCCTTGGGTTCCCCTTTCCTTCCCGATGACGGATCAGGCGAAGAGTATGAGCGTGCTGCATGTGAGTAGTTGGCGATGGCGAAAGATTTGACATTATGGCCTCCTAACCCTTCGTCCCCTCCTACAGGGCGTTGCGCGCCCAAAAGCCGGCCGATCGTCTGCCAGCACGGAAGATGCTATCTGCTACTGCAACAGTCGAAGATGGCGGAAGCCACACAGCCGGCACTGGCAACTTGGTCGCACCCGTACGCTAGAAGTAAGCACCCCTATGCAGACTCCATCGATAGCGAAGTCTTGAGCTGACAGACCTTGAATCCATAGTCACCCTAGCTGGCACTACGACCCAAGTGCAACGAGGCCCAACGCCCGGCACCAATGATGCGCGCTTTGCGATAAGTCGTTTGCGGCGTTGAGTAAGCACAAGAGGACGTAAGTGACAGTAAATCCCGGAAATTGTCCCTTGATGACATTCATTGACAATGAAATCGGAAGCACCCGTAAAGACAGAAGGCCTGTGGTTGACTGCTCGCTACCGTCGCTTGACGGATCTCCTAGTTTTTGCTGCCACCGGCCGGTTGACGGCAATGCTCTTCGTGAGCATATCACCGGGGTCGAAAGGATGTTTCCTAGCATATCACCGGGGTCGAAGGGATGTTTCCATGAGGGGGTTGGGTGATTCATATCACGATATGGTGTCTGAAAGACCGACAGAACCACTAGATCGTTGATACCGGAACTGAAGCGCCACAAAGAGAGGTTTAGTAGCTAATGAACTCGTCCCCAGGTGCTTCTGGGTGTTTGTTCTTATCCGCCCATGGCCCATGTCGTCTTTTCGTCGTCCTTTGCTGTCAATATTTCTCGTTCGCACCTGGCCCATGGAGTAAAGTCGCTTTGCCGTAGCTCATTTCTATTGCGTGGAAAGACGTTAATTTTTGTCGGATAATGGTTGTGCGCATCCTCAGGTAGACCGTCATGATTGATGTTGATGATGTTGATGAAGAAAAGAAACGAAACACAAGTCAAGAAAACGACCGACGTCAAAAGTGGGCCTCTCACGTGAAGATAACGCACCACCGATAACTTTATTTACGCGTTCCCGCGGGGTTCGGTGGGTTTTCAGGGGGCTGCAGTCCACTGGCACCTACTGAAACCCACTGGAGCCCCTCTTCGTTCCGGGGCTTCCCCTTCGGCCTTCCACCGTTCCCCTCACTGGAGCAAAATTTCGGCTGCTGTCACGTCATTGGGTCCGGTCGAGGTCCGACGGAAAACCCATACCACATCATCTTCCTCACCACGGCACTCACCCTTTCACTTCTCACTCTCACTTTTTCACATACGGGACAAACGAGAATCGACCAGTTCATTTCCCTAACCCATCCATCCGCCCGCCCTCCCACTCGCCCGCCATGTCCTCCCCCGCAGAGTGTCGCATCCTCGTGTTCGCCTCCGGCAACGGCTCCAACTTCCAGGCGGTGGTCGACGCCCTGGCCGCCGGCAACATCCCCAACGCCCGCATCACCCGCCTGATCGTGAACAGGGGTAAGGCGTACGCGACGACGCGCGCGGAAAAGGCCGGGATCCCTTGGGAGTACTACAACCTGATCTCGCACGGGTTCCAGGCGCGTGGCGAGACGGACCCGGAGAAGATGCAGGAGGCGCGCAACAAGTACGATGCCGCGCTGGCCGAGAAGGTGCTCGCGCTGGATGAGAAGACGGAAAGGCCGCATCTGATCGTGCTGGCGGGCTGGATGTACATCTTTGGCAAGCACTTTTTGGGCCCTATCGCGGAGAAGGGAATCAAGGTTATCAACTTGCATCCGGCGCTTCCTGGTAGGTGGTTTGTCTGACATCAGGTGGATGGTGAGGGAGGGACAACGGGATTTGTGCGCTGACAATTCATTCGCTCCGCACTAGGCAAGTACGACGGTACACACGCCATTGACAGGGCGTACGCCGACTTCCAGGCTGGAAAGTTGGAGAACAACAAGACCGGTATCATGGTGCACTACGTTATCGAGGCCGTCGACCAGGGTGCGCCCGTCCTTGTGCGCGAGATCGAGTGCCGTGAGGGTGAGAGCCTGGAGCAGCTAGAGGAGAGGATACACTCTCATGAGCATTCTCTCATCGTCGAGGCTACCGCCAAGATTGCCGGTGAGATCATCGCCTCTCAGCAGGCGCAACAGTGATTGGTACTGGGAGCGGAAAATGAGGATGTGGTATAGCGATGATGATGAAAGACGACAAACCTGTAGAAACGAAAGAAACAGGACACGAAACGAGCATTTGGGCCTTGTTCAACATCACAGGTTCAACAGGATAGGTATGCAAAACGACAGGGCAGAAATGGGATTCGAACGGAAAAGGACTAGGCTTGGGGCGGATCGTAAACAGTCATGGATTTCAACACTGAATACAGCTAGTACAGGGCACGGGGAGAACGGCGTGATGAGATGAACTACACTTCAAGGTTCCCCTGAAAGATCAGAACAGAGACGCGCGTTCAAGATGAAGGACGCTCCTTCGCGGCTGTGTTCAGGATCGTGGGACAAAAACACCAAAAGATCCATGTCGCGATGGATGAACGACGAGTCAGAAGAGAGCAGGGATGGCTAGTCGACCTGGGCGAGCTGGGCAAAAAGCACAAAAAAACATACAACACCAGGGATTCGCTGGTCGTCACCGACCCAACTACTAGTCTGGCCCTCACTGGCTTATCTATGGGAGAGCGGACGGGATCCCGAGTTTTCCAGTGGGTATGGTCGTATGTGATGTTCTTGAACGAGGAAAGCGCTTAAGTGCGTGCATTTGACAGGGAGCAAAAGGGCTGTTGTCTATGAGAAGTCTTCAGTGTGGATCCCGCGGAACACCCCCTTTTTTCGTGTAAACAATCGAGGATCCACCGGCGATACCGTACGCCATTGACAAAGTTTCATAATCCGAACCCAAAGATGTTGACTTCGAGAACCCGGACTGTTAGCCGATATGAGGTACATACCGGGACCAGTTAGGTACCAGGTATGCAGAGTCCGGAAGATGAGCAAGGTTGACGAAGCAAACCACCACCAAGTAAAGCCGTGTTAAGGTGTAGAAGACGAGAAGCAATATGACAGTGGTGTCGAAGATGACCTTGTAAACAAAGAACAGTATGAGAAGCATAATGTATGCGACATGTGCCAGCCCCTTGATCATATCTTGGTCGAAGCCTTCCCACGGCTGTGGCAACAGTCGGACAATCTTGCGTATGGGGATAATCCACATGACCCATGATATCAATACGGAAATCCAGTCCTCAGGCTTGACATTCGCTTGGATGTTTTGCAGGACGGTGTGTATCTCGGTGATTCTCCCAAACGGATCCTGCCAGAACGGGGGAAACAAGATCCACGAGGCGACGAGGAAGACTGGAATGATAGTGGCCGTTATGGTTAGGCTGGACACCCTCCACAGCGTCTTCTCAATCTCCGTGAAGAAAGGTGCATTCCAGGCAACGCAATGGAGACCGCCGTAGATGAGCCCAAAGATGCTGAAGCCCAAACAAAACCCGAAGCGTGTGCCGGGTTCTCCAAACCGAGGGAAGTTCCCAATTCGATCCTTCAGGAGGTTAGAAGGGACAGTGTCGAAGCCGTGATAGAGGAGGGATAGTTGCCACCGTCGGACGTCAGAATGAAGAACCTGGACATAAGGAACTAGCCGACCGATCTCCTCCAACCGTCTAGCTGGGCTTGCATCATCGATAGGCCTGTCAAAGGATCCAGCTCCTCGTAGTTCGATACTATCCCATTCGTTACCCTGCTTCATATCGGAAGCAACTCGCTTCGTGACCCCAGGAGGTGTCAGTTGCACAAGGTATAACAGGTCTTCGGATCTCTCCACCTTCAGGAAAAGAGGCTCTCGAGAAGTCCTGCAAGGTTTAGCCAGTGGTTAGCAAATTTGATGGCCAACGGATACCGGCAGATATCTGAGAACGCATTGGAAACCCACTTGTGCCTGTCCGAGAAATGGTAGCCCAAAGGCGTGTAAACGAGATCTTCGAAAGCCGTCCGCCGAGCACCAAACATCCCGAATTTCCTCTCGACTGGCCCCTTTCGGTTGATGTTGATTCTGTGCTCAAGCTCCTCATTTCCTTTTGACTCAACAGGAAACACGAGACTTTGCACATCTTTGTGGAGGTGAGCGGATTCTGACACTTTATTGTCCAGCTTGATCTTGGTGCACATACTTGCAAGAAGCTTTGCCTCCACAGTTATACCTTCGGGGTCGAATGGGATTTTCTCCGGCTCGTCAATGCTTAATGGCTTACTCCACCACAAGCCGTATATGATCAAGGTGCACACTGCATGACCGAAGGTGTTGAGTTCTAGAAGACTTATTGCTAGACCCTGGGCAAACCGAGTGAAGCATTGGGCACAGAATCATGATGTTACCGGACGGTTATGTTTGTTAGCAGCTGTGAGAATTACGAGGGATTTCGGCACACACAGTACACTTACCTTGCAAGCAAACCAGTGCCTTGGCCAGGGTATTTCCTTTGCTCTTGTCCTGTATGTGCACGAGTGATGGCTTGGGAATCAGGGAGTATAGTCCTTTCTCCTTGAAGAAGCTGAGGGCTTCCGGAACCAACGTAAGCCGTGTGCGCCTTGCCCCATTTGACTTCCAAGGGAGGAAGGACTGGATCTCCGCCTTGTCATTGCTCGCGGGTTGATCCTTTATTTCGACGACGAAGCCGCCCATAACTGCCAAGAAGCTGTGCATCATGGTCCATTTGGGCGTAAGGGAGGTCTGCGTCAAGGATCTGTTAGCTCATTGCAAAGTTAGGTGGCTTGTAGTGCACCATACCTCCAAGTCTATTGTGCTCTTGCGACGCCTGAAGCAATATGTCAAGCGCCTCCAAAACCTCTTTGTTTTGGCCTTCCACCGCGAAGAGTAGCCATGAGTCTCTGAGTGGGTTCATGGCTTTGGTGAGCTTCTTTGCCTGTGTGTATTGCTGAAATGCAGTAAAGGCAATCTTTTGCGGTTCTAAATGTTAGCGCAGAAAAGGCTGGGCAAGGACGGATAACATCTTACCAGTTCTTGACAGACAAGACCCATTATCATCCATCCAGTCTTGCGTACAAACTGCCTCATGCCTCTCTCATTGTGCCCAGGGACGTTGAAATGGAGAGAAGTCCACACACAAAGACCGAGTGTAAGAAAACATGTCGAGAAGATGGCAAACGTTCCTCGGCGGTCAGGCTCTAGTTCAAAGCGAGGGTCAGCTGGGCCGGTGAAAGCACTTCCGAAGATTCCAGAGTGAAACATGGCAGATGAATTGAGATGGGAAGTGGAAGAATGAAAAGCGTGAGTCAGGGGAGGGACCGGATCTTGGGGTGTCCAAAAGGGTCATAATAAAAGAGTCGGTCGGAAGTGGAGGGTGGCCGAGAAGGGAGAAGCCCGCAATATATGTGCGAGAAGGCTCCCGAGAACTTCATATCGCACCTCTCTTGCTATCAGTTTCGAGTGTTGTTACACAACCAAAGAGAGGCATCTAGCCCAGGTCTCTAGGCACAGTAGGAATCGCCGTTGCGCAACCTATACCAACAGCCTCGAAGTTGAATCCGCGAATCATCGACTACATCGCGGTAGCCGACGACCCGGTCCTGACCAGCTAGAAACCGGGGTAGTCAGAAATGAGGGGGCACCAAAAACACGCCTATGGTCGTAGACCTTGTCAACTGGAGGCTGAAGGCCAAGGCAGACTAACGTATGGATTTAGAGCCCAGGCAGTTCTTTTCGGTGTCGACAAACTAATGAGAAACACTGTTAGCTTGGACAATCCCCTGATAGCGAGGGCGGCTTGGTCACAGCACGAATGTACATGATGCATAGCGGTCCAAGACAGCTCACGCCATACAGCTTTGACACTGCCTACCTCGAAGGTCCATGTACAGCAAAGACTGAAACCCCGGGATAGCAACGTGCATGGGCGACCAATAAGGCGACCAATTGAAGGAACGAGATATATCTTCCCTAGCTCCTTGAGAAAGCAGGTGGCTTGCAGCCGCTTGGGCGCCTATCAGGCAAAGCTCGCGCCATTCTGTGGAGGCGAAGTGGAAGGAAGAAAGAGAAAAGGTTAGAAGGAATACAGAGAAAAGGGAAGGGAAAGCTTTTGTTGAAGCGCAATATTGGACGTTTTCGAGGTTGCTCAGGACGAGTAGACTGTACTCAAAAAGCTTTCATGTCATGGTAGAAATGTCGTTGCAGAACTTGTCTCGGTCACCCCTCCATCCAATTGACAGGACGGGCGCGGGATGTTACTTCCTAATTTGCACAGAGTCCAGGTGCATCAGAGAGACGGGAAGGAAGCTGCCTCCCACGTTACACAACTTAGCCGAGAAAGAGCAACCATTCGTTCTTTCCAACTGGGCTGAATAACTGGCAGTGGTCACTGTGTTAAGGTACCCCGCTCCTCCCCCCTCCCCCAGTCCAGGTACTCGACCCTGAGCAACTGCGGGCTTCTTGATGTACTCAACTTTCTTCCCGTATCTACCATAATAGCGTCAAAGACCATCGGCATGCTCACACAACGAAAGCTCATCGCCCAATGGCCCTCAAGGGCGCTCTACATGGGCAGCCAAACCCGCATGAAAACCATCCCTCAAATCAGATCATACTACGACGAACCAACCACCCCCTCCCACCTTGAGTCCATCACCCGCGATCCCAAGTACTCGCGCATCCTGCGCAAAGTCTACGGCGCGCCCTTCCAAAGCCTGGTCAAGCCACGAATCGACGAATGGTTCGCCTACTGCCTCCACCGTTCACCTTCAGGGACATCATCAGGGTCAGGAAAGCAAATGACAATCCAAGAACGCACCCTCGCCAAACACGAATGGGCCCAAGAAGTCCTCCACATGCGCGAGCCCTACAACCGCACGCCCTGGCGGTGGGACTCCCTCAGCCAGCGGTCCGAGCCGCCTCTGGGTATGCGGCAGCCGGGCGAGCCAGTCGCGGATTTCTTGAAGAGACTGCCGCCGGTTCCGGGGCCGAAGATGGGCGGGAAGAATGATCGGTTTGTGCCGAGGTGGTATGTGGTTGAGAACCCCGTTAGGGAGGCGTACTTTGCGAGGGGGTATTTGGATCATGGGAAGGCGCATGAGCCGCATCGGTTTGGGATTTGGATTGCGAATCTGAGGAATGCGTACATGACGTTCTTTGAGCAGGTGGCGTATAAGAGGAGCATTGGCAGGATGAGTGAGGAGAGGTATCGAGAGGAACTGAGGGAGTTTATTGCGAGGAAGGCGAGGCAGTTTAAGTTGACGAGGGGGGAGGTATGTACAGCCAGATTTCGCGGTTTCATCAGGTCAATGGCTACTGGATCGCTAACATGTTTCCCTAGTGGGTGATTCCCGTCCCAACATCTGAAGCAACAAAAGTCTGGTCCGAAATAGCCCAAGCAACGGGCCTCAACATCCTCGGCACATCCGCCCGGATAGCTACCTCTTCCTCCATCGACTACCCAGACCACCGTCTAATCGCCGTCCAAACGGTCGACTTCTCCGACCACGAAGACGTCGAGCGCATCCTCCGCCGCCTCGAAGGTATGGGCATCGTAGACCGCACCATTACACAGCCCATCCACTACCAAACAGAAGCATACTACTTCCTCGGCATAGGGCCGAACAACGTACACAACCTGCCCACAGCGTTTTATACCAGCGATCAGTTCTTCAACGAGGAACTCAGAGCCAAATTGAGGCAAGGGCGGTCGGGGCAGATTCTGGATGAGTCCGTGCTTCGAAGGAGCGAAGAGTTGCGAAGGAAGCAGCAGCAGGAAAAAGAGGAGCAGGAGGAGATTGCGGACTTTGGACGGATTTGGAACCAGGAGCCGGAGGAGAAGCAGAGGGTATGGATACCGCCGCAGATGCTGGTGCAGAGGGATCCGAACGTGTTCCAGGAGTTGGAGATTGCCAAGACGGAGGCGGAGAGTGCGAGGGCTAAGACGAAGAAGGCGAAGAGGATGACGATGGAGGAGTGGGAGGAGACGGAGGGTGGTGATGATCCGGTTGCGATGGCGTTGAATGCGAAAAGGGTTGAGTGAGTGGGCCAGTTAGCGATTCCTGACGGGTTAAGTACTTCTGTTTAATGTTTGATTGGTGTTAAAGGGTGTAAGAGATTTCCGAGGGGTTGTCTGGCTTGTGCTTCTAGATGTTGTTACCGGAGCTGTTGCCTGGTGCTTGTCCTGATATCTGGTCCTCTATCCTTCCTCTTTCTGGGTCAACTACACCGTAATCTCGTTCGTCAGTGGACGTCAGATCCATGTCCGTTGACACTACTTCTGTATCATTCTTCATACCGTGGCTCGCCCGCAACGATGCCCAGTCGATCCGCCTTTCGGCTACATCGGTTGAAGTGTCTCGATCCGTCATAGCGTACTCTGATATAGTGTCCAGGTCTCTTGGCCGAGGAACTGCCCTCAGCCAGCGAGTCCGGGGAAAGAGGCGTACGAGCAACGGCTTTAGACAGGGCATGCAAGCGCATATGATGGCGACGTTCAGTTCCGTGTTGCTGTTGAAGAGACCATGGTTAGCTTAACCTGATGTCCACCACAGGTTTTAGAAGGGCTACTCGCCCCCAGATATAGTGGATTACCAAGCACCAAGTGTAGTCCCCGTCTCCCATGGCGAGAAGACCACAGATGAAACGGAAAAGACTGACTCCCAGCACGCTGAATTGTCTTCATGTTAGCTAGAGCTTTGTTCGGAACTTCGGATGTGCGAGTTGTGAGAACTTACAAGCCGCCTGTACCCAGGATACCTTTTGAGCGAACTCACATCTCAAGGGCCTGATGATACATATGGGCATCAACAAGATAATGATGTCGGCCACAACGTTGGGTCCCAGTAGCGATTCATACCATATATTGATGTCCATACATTGATCTTTGTTCCAATGGGTCCAAAAGACCTTGATCGGTTTGCACCAGTAAAGGACGCCTGTTGCTCCGATGACATTGAGGACAAAGACGAAACCAATGGTGGAATAGACGGCATAAGTGAAACAACGGCTTGTTGTAAAGCGTAGGTAGAAGGAGAGGATTGAAAGCTTGGTGAAAAAGTTGGCAATTGGATACGTGCTAGTGACTCCAAAAGCGCTAACCTGAAGGACGTGGTCAGCTACGGGGGACTGTTTCATTGTGTCCTGCGAAGAGGCGGAGATGAGATATTAGGATGACATACGAGCAGATACTTCTTGTAGGTATGTTTGGGGTCTGGGACGTCACCGTAATGCCTACCAAGCCCATATTTTGTTTCTAGGTGAACACCCCTGAGATTAGCCTCTCTTGTCAAAGTTTGACATTCGCGGTGCACAAGAGAGACAAGACCACATACGTATCGTCACAGATACCGAGAAGAGAATGGAGAATATCTGTGGGAAACATTTGTTTAGCATGTACTCGTTAGAGGTATGCTCATGGCCAGTATCGTACCAATGCAACGAGGATAAACCCTGTGGAATACCCAAGGTTAGTGAAGCTGCAGCATCTCCCTAGGATCAGATTCCTGACCCAGGAGGCAGGTTCTTTCTGCTTACAATCTTCCTTTGGCTTGGAGTTCAGGATGCGGCGGGTCGTGTAGAATCTAGCGCAGACGAATATGGCGGGGAAGACAGGGACAAGCCAAGCAGCCAAAACAACTTGAGGGGCAAGCGTTTCTCCTTCGCCATAGGCCCTGATCGGCTCAAACTTTTCATTGAAAAGTTGTGAGGGTTACAGGGGGTTTTGGTGCCAAGCTCGATTTTTTTTCTGGACTAACTAGTCTGGGCACCAAAAAACTCGAGAAAACTCGAGAAAACTGCTCAAACTTGAACCAGGGTGTTCAGAAGAGGTACCGACTAATGTAGGCCGTCATACCTTCCTAATTTGTACTGAGATCGACAGATTCTTAGTGTTTTTGACCGGTTTTCTTATTAAAATTGACAAAATCTCAGAAGTAGGGGGTACCCTACTTCTGGCAGAAAAGTTGTGAGTTTTCGTGAGTTTTCGTGAGTTTCCTTACCAAGATATATAACGTAAGCAGGTTTGCCCTGTCGGTGAATATTATGTCAGTTGAGCCGCACTTGAACCTTATACTCCTAGTTATCAAAACTCTATTGTACTATAACTGCCACATATTCGTATTCGTTGATATCGGTCGCTATAAATCTAGAAGTCGTAACCGAATTGCTTTCGTATTTATAGTAGTAACTGCTATTTATATTATTTTTCGTCGTACCAGGAAGGATTCTGAACTTATATACTATAGCCCAAACTATACTAGAAAATCAGCGGATAGAATTTAGTACAACTTAGTAATATAGTTTTCATAACTCTTCTATATAGATCGATTTACTTTTAATACCTTATTAAAATAGCTTTAAGAAAATACCGGTTATTTAAAGCCTAATCGATACTAGATAGTATATTAGAAATTGATAGTCTTTCTATATATCCTAGCTTATTATTAAAATTAGCGAATTACCCCGTATTATTTTTAAATTAATTAGAGTTCGGTATTAAAGATTATAAATAATTTATTGCTTATTTGTGAATATTTATATATTACGTGTCACAGGGCTAGATCACATGCCCTGTGCTAGTCGTGCTATTGGCCAATGCTACACTGCGGCTCAGCTGTAGCCATTGCTATAGCACTGGGCTTAGCCTTGGTAGCGGTTATGGGGTAGATCTATCTAGTTAGGTAGATCTTACCCGTGCCCTATATTTACTTTGGCTACGTATACCTTTTTTACTTCCTTCGTATAATAATACAGATTATACTTCATACTTAACGGTGCCCTCGCTCCGTAATAGTTTATTATACCTATATATTACGCTATACGCGCTTATTTACTATAAATATCGCGACGAACGTTTTTCTTAATAATTTACTAGTAATTAAGTTTTCGGATTATTTTTAACGTTCTTACCCTACGTAGAATAGAGAATTAATTTAGTAAGAATAGTTATCCGTTTAGCACTTTTAATTATAAGCGGATTCTACGACTATTGTAATTATAGTAATTAAGCGTTAAACGACGTCTTTAATCCTAAATACGTTTATTTACTTACTACGAGGATAATAATAATATTAAATCGGTAATTATTAATTATTATAATAATAATACCGATACCGAATTTATCGTTATTAATTGATCCCCCAATCTCCTAAGCGAGGCTATCTCTACTTTTATTAATTAAATTTCAATTCTTAATATAATTAATAATTACCCTATTCTATAGGAGCTAAATTCTTATAAAGTTAACGTTCTTCATCCCCCTAACTATTATTATTTGGGTTATAAATTCTATAGTCCTAATTTCGTTCCCTAAGGATTAAGCGATCCCCTAATAGATAGTAATAAAATAGTTACTAATAATAAAATAGCCTTAATAACTCTACGTATATATAGTAACAATATTATACATCGTAATATTTAGTCCTTTTTATATAATATATTATTAATTAGTAATTTTATAGCTTTTTACCCGGTTATTTTCCGTTAATATACTAGCTATATTACTTAACTGCCCGCTTTTATAATTATAATCAATATTATCGCCGAAGCCTTTCGTACTTCTAAAGAACGTTTTTATTAAAAGATTTTATATAAGGAAGCGGAGGACTATATTAATAAGTAGTCTTAGAGGAATTTTTAGAACGAAGTTATTTAATAGAAGTCTAAAATTAAGAAGTAGTTCGATAAATATAAAGATAGGCAGTAATTATACGTAAACTACAATAAAGAGATATTTAATATAATAAATCATAATATAATTATAAAAGCTCAAGTACTTTCACTATAAACCTAAATACTTTACTTATAGAATTAAATTGCCGAATTATAAATTAATAATAACGGCCTTATAACTTTTATTTAAAAATAATAGTATCGGCGTCCCTACCCGCTTCGGCCTTAATAATAGTAGTTCCAGTAATAGCTACGGCGGAAATCCCGGCGGTAGTAGCGGTAGAAATCCTAGTAGTCCCGGCAACGGTAGTAGAAGTTTTAGCGGTCCCTCCTTTAAACCTCCGGTCTCGACTCCGGTTATAAATTATAATAGTAATAATCACCGTTATATAGTACCCGACCCTAAGGTTTTTAACGCTTCTAGTAAAATACCCCGTAACTATAATAATATGTATTCTATTTAGCGTACAAAGGTCTATTTATATTAGAATATAAATAAGTAAGCATTCCCTATAGAATGTATTAAATTCCTTTATATCTATATTCGTTTAGGTAAAGCGCTTATAGTTAACATTAAAAAAAGTATAAAATTTATTACAAAAAGTAAGGACCCTTCGATAAAGCCCTAGAAAATAAGCGAGAATTTGATTATTTATTTTAATATTCGTTATAACACTATAAATATAAAGTTAGACGCTGAGCGTACTCTCTAGTAACTTTAGTAAAAATCTAATTTCTAGAACTTCGAGGACAAATTTATCTTTTACGCTGACTACTATAGTATAAATAATTCGATAAGGATATTTTTACTTAAGAAAAAGGTTAACGACTAATTTAGGAAATTAAGTAATTACTAGATTAATTTCCTAATTAATAATAATTTTTAAAGCTAGGTTATACTCTTACGTAGCCTCGTTTGTAACTACGAAGAGGCCGCCTTCGGAAAGAAATTCTCTAACGCTTTTAATAATTATAATAATTCTAATTCCGGTAATAAGAATTCTAATAATAGTAACGGCAGTAGATACATTAAAACCGGTTTATAAAGCGGTAATATTATAGATTTAAATTAATTTAAAGTTATTATACGTCGTATTATACTTTCCAATATTTAGAAGCGTTACTAGGATAATAGTAAATATGCAAAATATAGTAAAAAAGGTTATAAGTAGAAGAATTATTAATAATTCGTAGATTTAGGTAATAGTAAGGGATTTATTGCTAGTATTAAGATTACCCGTTCAAATAATAATAAGAAGTCTAGTAATAATAAGAAGCTCGGTTAGAGCAGTTACGGTAACAGCGGCAATAATATTAATACAGTCGATAGTAGCGGTAGTAAAGTTATTCCCAAGGCTAATAATAGTAATACCGGTACGGAAAATATAGCGCCTCCAACGTAAGTCGCTAATAGAAGCTATTACTAAAAAAAGGAAGGGGCAAGAAATTAGAAGGATATCTATTAAAATTAGAGCGTAAAAAGTTAAACTAAGAAGAATCTTTATTAATTAATTTAATTATAACTAAACTAGAGAAATCTATCCTTCTTTCTAATTACCTTTATTATAGTAAGCGTAAAGTATATTATTTAATATTAGTTAATAGCGGTTATACGGGCAAAGCGTTTATTGATATAAATTGTATTAAATAAAATAGTTTACTAATTTATACGCTAGAACGGCTACGGCCGTTAAAGTTAGCGGACAGTAATATTAATACCTATATTACCGACTATATATAATTAATAATAAAGATTCGCGTCCATAACAAAGAAATCGATATATTAATATTTATATTATTACTAGAAAAACCAGTTATTTTAAAACTCCCCTGATGATAATAATATAACCTTTTTACGAATTAAGAGATAGGAAAATTTAAATTCAATAAAAAATACTAAAACAAGTACCTTCCTAAGGATATACCCAACTTTTAGATACTGGCACTTAAAGTTTTATACAGGAATACCATAAAAATCGTTAAAGAAGAGCTTATTAAGGAGGAAATTCTTTAAGAAGTAATTAATAAGAGGAGAGAGATAGGATCGGTATTAATAGCGGCGCCGCCTTCTCTAGATAATAGACCGGGTTTTAAAAGTATAATAATAGCGCTAGAACCTGAAACTAGGCTATTATTAAAACTAAGATTAATAGTTCGCCTACTAATATTAGGATTAAACCCGCAATACTCCTAAGAACTTCTAATATTATCCTAAATTAAATATACAATTTAATATAAAAGGGTTCAATTATAGGAAAGAATCGCAAAAAGGGTAAGTACGAACTCTAAATAATTATAGCCTATTAATTTACCGGAAGGGAATTAAATAATAATATTACTTTAAAATCTAACCCTATTTTAAACGGTAGAGCCTAAAATAAAACCTATACTTTACAAAATAATTAGCGGGCAACGCTTACTTATCGTAAATTTAGCGAGGAGATTCCTAATATTATTATTTATAAGGCCTATTGACGTTAATAATATCCTTATTAATATAAACGATATCGTAGAACTCAACGCTACAAATTTTAATTTCGTAGTCCGTATAAAGTAATTGGAAGCAATTATTATAAGCAAGGTTAAAATCGAAGAAGTAATTAAATAAATAGAGGCGGAAACAAAAAATAAGAGTAAAGAGGAATCGGGAAAGCTAGAAATTATAAATCAAATATATAAGGAAATCTATATAAGTAATAGAACTAAGTATAAGAATAAATTTATAAACTACACTTTAAAGATTTTAAAAGATAATATAAGCGAAATTATATTAAAAATGATAAAGGAGGACGCTAAAAGATTCTACAAAAAAGCGAACAAACCTTTAGCTACCAAAGAACAAATCAAAACGAAAATACTAATATACTACTATAAATATTAGAAAGTAGCCAATCTTAGCAACGCTAAAATTATACTTTAATATAAGTCCTACAATTACAAAATCGAATTTATTCTAGGAGCTGAATTACCTAACGCTCAATTACAATTATTTTCCCC